GTAACTTTGTCCCAGGCTCATTTACTGTCCCTGCCAGCCTCAATTCTGGAATCAGCTGTTCCTTCAAGGAGGCCTGGTTCTTTTTAGTTATTCTTACCATGGAAGGGCCACAAGTTTATGTTGAATAACTGCGTTTGTGCCTTCTTCCAGATTGGTCCAGACTAAACAAGGTCAGGAAGCCTATCTACTTAAGCACAAAAAAGTGGTTCAATAAGAACTTGCTGAATAATTAATTGTTTTCTCTGTCATTAATCTTAAAATAATTTTCTGTTTAGGATAGTGAACCTAAAACCCTTATCTTTTTATTATTTGAATATAAAATAGCTCTCTATTTGAAAAACTACATGAAGTCATTATAGTCATGATTCCTAGAAGAAGGCTTAGATTAAAGTGTAAAGACTCATTCACTCCTGAAATCCCGGCAACTGAGGCAGGAGGATTGCTTGAGGCCAGGAGTTGCATTACCAGCCTGGGCAGAATATTGGGACCCTACCCTCTCTAGTCCAGGGAAGAAGAAAAATAGCTGAGCATGGTGGCACATGCCTATAGTCCTGCTACTCAGGAGGCTGAAGCAGGAGAATTGCTTGAGCCCAGCATTTAGGGCTACAGTGAGCAATGATTGTGACACTGTGCTTGAGCCTGAGCGACAGAGTGAAACCCCATCTCCTAAAAAAAAGAAAAAAAAAAAGAAAAGGAAGAAAAGGAAAAAAAAAGGCTTGGTAGACTTATAAATATGCAAAGAATCACATGGAGTATGATTGTCAATTATAGGTTTAATTATAATTCCTCTTTTTTCTTTAAACTGTCTCATTTATTCAGAAAGAATTGAGGTATATGTTGATGTCACTCTTTTTACTGGTAAGAAACAGCCTTAGAAATTGAATAATTAGTAAATGACACAGTTGGATTTGGACTATGTGTCTTAACACCTAGTGTGAGCAGACTTTTTCAGCTATACTACCCTTGAGTACTTGTATTAATATTCTTCGATACAGATTTAGGGAATTTTAAATATCTGCTGAAGTTAGGAGTATGATTATCTACTGATGATTTGAGGTGTGGGCTGTGGCATCTTATATACTTACAGTTTTGTCAATTTTTAGATATCCATTTGGTGGTGAGGATAAATGTTTTCAGCAAACAAAATACATGTGAGTGTAGTCTTTTTACAACCATATTGTAGAGCAGGGCTTTTCAGTTTTGGCACTGTCGACGCTTTGGGTCGACCAATTCTTTGTAGTGGGGGCTTGTCTTTTGCATTGTGGGATATTAAGCAGCATCTCTACCCTCAGTTGTTGTCATTGCACTCCCCTGTTGGGAAAACTGAAATGTCTGCAGTCTTTGCCAAATGTCCCCTGGTGGTAGACTTGCCCACAGTTGAGAACCAGTGTTGTAGAGTAATTTGGCTTTTTGAAACTCTGTTGAGTAAATTAAAACTTTTTGTTGGCATTGCAGGGCTCTGTTGCAAATAAGTTCTACGTTCACAATGATATCTTCAGATACCAAGATGAGGTCTTTGGTGGCTTTGTCACTGAGCCTCAGGAGGGTAAGTTGTGAAATCCTGTAAGTTAACTTGTCTAAATTTTCCTAATGGCATCAGATGGCATCAGACTGACCTTAAGAGACTGTGGGTTTCTCCAGTATTTTATTATAATCTGTGTTCATTAATAACTATTAATGATAATTGTCAAGACCTATGAAGGATCTGGGATTTTACCCTACTTGAAGTTAAACAGGTTAGCTTACTTCATGGGTGTTAATAGAAGACCTAAGACTTCTGGGTCAGAAGTGGACAGGTTATTATGGCAACAGTAGTAGCAGTTTTGCCACAGTTCCTACAGGATACCATGGAGAAGGACAGATGGTTACTTGTATTGCTATAGATTGTGTTAAAAATGTGGAACACTGAATTGAGGGAACCCAAATCTTTTATTGTATAATGGGCACTGAACATGCCTACCCTCTGCTCTGGAGGTCCCGTTAGATGTTTTTGAAAGATAGTCTGGAGGGAAGGGTAGATGTGAAAGATGTGCAGAAACACAGAGGCCTAGGGAGAATTTTCTCCAAACTGGTAATATTTGAGT